CAGACGCTGACACCGAGACGAAGCCGACGGGCGGCGGACGGGTTCTACGCCGGCATGTTGAAGTGTGTTGATGAATCCAGCCACCGCCGTCTGAATTATTGATGAGCAGAATATTAGATCAAGGGCTTCATAATTTCTGTCCAAATCCAGCCGCTAATGTGACTTTTTCCAAACAGCCTGAGCAAAGACGAATCAAAGCCGCGAGTCGCCGCCGCCGCGCACAAACACATTATCGGAATAATCGGAGCCAAAGTGGCCGACGTTTGAGGGACGTCGCTCCCTGATGAGCTGTTCACGATGAATTATTCAGCTGCAGAAAAAACAAAGCAGAAATGAGTGGACGAGGACAGGAAGTCGTGCACGGTGATGCCGCTAGCTTCTCCACGCTAAATGTTCTGCACCTGCCATGATGCTAATGCTGCTGACGGCATAAATGTGGATCGGTTTCTGTGTTTGAGGTTTCTATCTCTGGGCAAAGCAAACGAGCATCAGAGCTAACAAGCTAGCAGTGACTTAGCTTCTTACCCAAGGCCATTTTGTCCAAAAACTATCCAAGAATTGAGGCCAAACTGAACAACTTTGGGTTCTGTGGATCAAAGACACTTGGAAGATGTTGGAATACAAAAAGGCAGCGCTAAAAACGGAAACGCTGTCAATCATTGAAGCTGCAAAGCTGCAAACAAACAGACCAGTGTTTTTTACAGTCCACGGCACTTTTACACAAAAACATATCAGAATGTGTCTAAATTCTTCAAAATCAGCCCCCATGGCTGCAGTAACCGATGGAGACTAGAAGCTTCTCCGTGCACGAGCACCTAGCTAGCTTCTACCGTAGTCTGAAACCACAAACACTCATCCCAACAAGTCAGAACTTCTGATTTGTTTTACTTTTAAAGCCAAATTAAGTAAATCTGACATTAGAACGTCTTACTTCCTTCTCTTCAAACCAGTTTTGGGGCTAAAGTGGGTCAAACAGTGTCAAAATTTCTCAAATAAGCGACTGAAAACAATGGCTTGTGTCAAACTAGGCTTCTACTTTTTTGTCTTGATCGCCTTGACTGCCTTTATTTTTCAGTACTAGTTGCTGATTGCATAGTTGCTTCACTTCTACTGCCATATGTAGACGCTAACTTACACATTTTACACAAACTCAGTGAAAAACCTGCAGACTAGAAGCTTCTCTGTGCACAGCTGTCTAGCTAGCTTCTACCGTAGCCTGAAATTGCAAAAGCTTCTCCAAAACTTCTGTAAAACGACTCAGAATTTGTCAGTTTTCTTAAACTTTTCAAGTCAGATGAAGTAAATCTGACGTTAGAACGTGTTGCTTCCTTCTGTTCCAAGTCATTTCTGGTCTCTCGGCTGTAACCGATGGAGACTAGAAGCTTCTGTAGCCTGAAATGATGAAAACTTGTCTAAAAGCAATCAAAACGACTAACCGAAGCGTAAACTAGACGGTAATTATCGACCTTATCGTAGGACAGAGTGTCTCACACAGATTCGTCTAAAACATTTGGTACAACAGAAATAACAAAACAACACATCTGCAGTCACTATTCACATAGCAGCTCTAGTTCTAGAAGTCATTTTGTGGTCTGGAAACTCAGCCGCTAACTTAGTTTTGTCATTGCAGAAGGCACTCGGTAGCTATAAACCCTCACAACGTAGAAACACATAAACCGAGTTGTCGTCGGGCGAAGCGTTGATCCAGTCACATCATGTTTGTGTCAAATGTCACAGCCGAGGTAATAAAGACTTTACAGTTCGGACTTTCCACTATAAAACGTTGCAGTTTTACACACTTTGATTTGTGCAGCCGTCGTTTGATCTGATTCCTCGACACTTCCAGCAGCCGTCAGCAGCTTTTTACGGTTCAAGACGACAGTTGCAGGACTGATAACAAGAAATGTGTTTCACTGAGTCACGCGGCTACAAGCGAAGCCATCCAACGGTTACGGCATCAGTTCATAAACGGCGCGTCTGTATACGTCTTTATGACGGTTGTCTCTGAGGTGTGAAGGCCACAGAAGCTGTAAAGTGGTAAAAGTAAAACCAGGTCAGGCGGGTGGACAGATGCATGTTGGCGGGAAAACTGTTTAATTATTATTTAAAAAACTTTTATTTTTTTAAAAAGTTAACTTCAAGAAATGCAGATAACTAATAAAATCATAGAAAAAAGACATTTAAACCATAAAAATCAGGTTAAAACTGTAAATGTCCACATCAGAAATCTGCATTTTTATAATTTTATGTAGTTTCTTTTACATTTGACTGTAAATTTACACTTTAAAAAAATATTAAAATTAGCAAGAATTTCGTAATTTTACTGATATATGCTGTTATTTGGAAGAAAATTTTAGTAAATGAAGACTGAGAAACAGGAAATAATTTACTTATGTTTATGTCTACAGCCTGTAAAAATCCACAACAAAAATCTGTTTGTTTGTTTTTTGTGTTTTTTTTTTACATTTGTGTGAAATTACATTATGTTTTTACTTCATTTAAATCCCAAAAATCCTGAATTTACACATAAATACAGCATTTAAAAAATATATTCTTTTATACATTTTCCCGTTTTGATCAATTCCACATCATATCTGGTAGCATCACAGAAAATTATATTAACTTATATGTATTGACTAAAAAAAACAAAAAAAAAAACAGTTCCTAGTCTCGACATCACTGCAAAATTCCAGTTTTACTGTCTTTAAATCAACGAAACAGTCAATTCTTCTCAGATATTTGTTGCTATTTTCACCCCTTTCTGTCACATGGTTTTGACAGAGCAGTGTTTTTACAGTGCAGTCGGGTCCCTGCAGCTCCACACTGAGTCTTTGTTCAGGTTTTGCCGCGTCAGGCTGCTAACCGGTCCGGCACCAGGCCCGAACAGAGGAACCGAAGCGCTCGGCCAGTAAATCAGCCGAGCAGCGAGCCAACATGGCAGCCAGTCGGCCGGTGACAGCGTGAGATTATCTGGAGCGTGTGATGCTGGTGTTTACACCTCGCCTCTCCGCCGGCCTCCACCTGAGCCTTCCTCCTCCTCCTCCTCCTCCTCCTCCTCTCAGACTGCTCGCTGCCGAACGTCTGGACTCTCGGCGCCGCCGCTACACACCAGAGTGTGATTCATTGATCTGCTGATTCATTCACTAAATTCTCTGAAGGTGTTACAACCGAGAAACGAGTCGGCTCGTAGTAGATGTTTTTTATTAATGGCAGCAGAACCCTGCAGACACCTGCTGCAACAGAACCGTGTGACGCATCGCACAGACCTTCCATCCGCCGTAAACACGCCGTACGACGAACAGCGCCGCATGGGAGGCAGCCCAAACTCCATTCATTCCATCTCAGGATACTAGAACCACTCTGGTCGCCTCCCTTCTTCCAGCTGCACAGACATAAAGCTTTAACAAACAGCTGCTGTGAGCCGGTGCTGTATAAATAAAACTGAACTGAACTGAATAAACTGTTTGCAGGAAATTCGTCAAAACAAATGAGCTAACAGGCTGCTGGACTCCAGTGTAATTGTGCAAAAGACAACCAAATTAACAACATATCAGTCGTAGAAGTGGCTCAGCATTTTCAGGAACCATTTAAATCCAAATTATTTATTTTTCCCAATAAAGCAAAGCAAGCGTTTCAACTTGTCTGAGGAAGATGTGCAGCAGTAAACTACAAACCCTTCGGATTTTCAAATAAGGAATATTAAAATTCTTTAACACAGTCGGCCACGTTAGCAATCAGTCGCTAAAAACAAGTCAAATTCTGTGGACGTTGTGCCGTACGGTGTTTTTATCCACTGCAAAATCAACTGGGATTGAAGACCAGACAAACTAAACACAGGGTTGTTGAATTTTACATAAAAAATCCAAAAATAACGGCTTGATTTGAAATTAATCTTCAGTGCTTGACGCTTAATCGGCGTTAACTGCAGCAGACGAGCGCCAGTCTTCCACAGAACAATCCTCACAGCATCCAGCTCTGTTAGCGTTAGCAAGCCCTAGCTTAGCATTAGCCTCAGTTAGCTAACTTAGCCAAACAGCCATTTTTACAACTTGATGAGTTCATCAACACGACTTTCAGGAGGGAGCGTTTGTTTTATGAACCCTTATGGGCGGTCATCCAACACACACGGAACTCCATCTCATCAACAGTAAGAGGCTCCACCTGGTGGAACAACCAGGTACTGCAGCTAATCTGCAGTTCATTTTCTGACATGGCTTTTCAGAGGAAGTATTGAGAAATGGACTGACACGTGGTGTTTCTGTTGGATTTGTTGACAAACTGGGGAAAATTAAGGAATGCTGCCAGTTTTATTGTTAAACAGAATAAAAGCAAAGCGCATGATGAAGCTGTGTTGATGTGAAGACGGCTGCTGAGAGCGATGGAGGCAGGTTTTTGTGAGTTTTGCTCAGAATGGTTTAGAATTCAGAACGTAGACAACCTCTGCTGCTTTGACTTTCACTGTTTTCTCTCAGTCTGTCTTGTCCACAGGCGTACGACGCTAAGTTGCTCTTTTAAGCAGGGTTGGCAGATTTATCTTTTCTTCTCCCAGCATTCAACATGCATCATCCTAAATATCTCGTCTGAGCGGGATGGGACGATCAAACGGAAAACAATTTCAAATATCTGCCAACTCAGGGCCGCCGAAACTCCAGACAGAATAAACATTCAGCGTTTAGGATCCGAGGCCTTTTTATTGCTGCTGTCTGCTGCAGCGTCTCCAAAAAAACCTCCCACTTCAGCCATTTTGTTGAAAAGAAATAGGAGGAGTGTGTGTGTCCCACATCGGGTGTGAATTCTGGAAGAGTGACTGATTAGGAAACATCATAATTGCATTGCGTTTCCCGCTGAGATCCTCTATTATGTTACACTTCATTCCCCATTCAACGCACAGTCTAGACCAGACTAATTGAGTGTCTATGGTGTTGATTCAGACTATTAACCATCTGTGCCTCTTCCCTCTCTCCTCACCCCTGCCACCTTCATCCTCCTCTCCTCTGCAGGAGTTTGGAGGTCGAGTAGGATGCTGAGTATCTTTCCTCCTCGCCACTGCTCTCCACCCAGCTCTCCATGACCTGAGAGCACCAGCACAGCGGGAGGAACGAAACACCAGAGCGAGAGAGGAAGAGGAGGGCAGAAGGCCAGGGAAGGAAGGAAGGAACACGCTTTTTTTGTTGTTATTGTTTGGTTTCCCTTTCTGAGATGGCGGCGACGGAGGCCAGTGCGGCGCCGGTGGTCCAGGAAGACGGAAAAACCCCCGAAAGCAAGCCGGCGGAGGCGGAGCAGCCGGCCAAAAACGCAAGCTCAGAGACTGTCAACAGCGAGGTTGTCGATAAAGATGGCACGGCCGTCAACAGCGAGGTTGTCGATAACAAAGAGACTGTGAATAACGACACAGCGGCGGCTGCGGGAACCGAGGAGGGAGGAGCGGCGGCGAGCGAGGAGGCGGCACCCGCTCAGAGCTCGGAAAACGCCTCCTCCGCCGAGCCCAAGACCTCGTTCCTGGACTCCTTCCTCAACAAGAGCGGCCTGGGGAAGGTGATGGGAGGTCGGAAGAAGAAGGAGCAGGAGAACGCTGCCGAAGGAGGCGAGAAGGAGGCGGAGAAAGGAGGCGAGGAGGCCGCAGCAGCTGAGGGAGGCGCAGAAGGAGAGGAGGCGACGGAGAAGGCTGCAGAGAACGGCGAGAAGGACGACGATAAGAAAGCCGAGAAGGGCAAACCAGCGGAGGCCAAATCCACGGTCCGGGATCTGATCAGGAAGCCGGTGGCGAGGATCTTCTCCCATCGCAGCACCGAGAAGAAGGACGGCGCCGCCACAGAACCTCAGAAACAAGTAAAGGTTCGGTCCAAATCCCTGGACCGGCTGGAAGATCCCGAAGCACTTAACACCACCGCAGACTCCACCATCGAGGAGGGAGGAGCTGCCGGAGGAGCAGAAGGAGGTGCCGATGGGGAGCAGAAAGCCTCGTCCTCCTCGGCGACCACCAAGCACATGAAGCGCTGGCACTCCTTCAAGAAGCTCATGGCTCAGAAGGCGCACAAGAAGAGCGGCGGTGGCGAGGACGGCAAGGAGGACGGAGCAGACGGAGGCGAAGGAGGCGGCGACTCCTCCACGCTCGACTCCAAGGAGTCCGGCCAGAAGAGGTGGAAGCTGAAACGCTCCTGGACCTTCCAGGGCCTGAAGAGAGACCCCTCCATGGTGGGCATCAGCGGCAAGGCCAAGAGCTCTGACAAGGACGGCGCCGACAAGACGGAGGAGGTGGCGGCAGGAGGAGCCGAGGGCGGCGAGGAGGCGAAGGCGGAGGGCGGAGCCGAGGAGGCGAAGACGGAGGGCGGTGACGAGAAAGCCGAAGGAGGCGAGGAGGATAAGGCGGCCGGCGGCGGAACGGTGACGCAACACGCCAACGAGATCTGGACCTCCTTCAAGAAGCGCGTCATCCCCAAGAGCAAACGCGCCAACACGGAGTGCGCCGCCGGTGGCGAGGAGGACGCCACTGCAGCTGCTGCCTCTGGTGAGTCGACACAATCCATGTTCCCATAAGTTTGTGCACATTTTTAGGTAGTCCTAGAGGGTTCGGTAGAAAGCAACTGGACTCCTCTGTTAGGTTCTTTTCAGGTAAAACCACCTTGATTAAATGTGCAGCCTTAGAAGGCAACCTTCTTTTGGGTCGAATCTTTTTAAACATTCCTAAATGCGTTTTGAAGTGTCACAATACAAAACGTTGGTGGAAATGGCACAAAAACTTGCACAGTTTTGCAAAAGTTCATACCCTTAAGTTAGGCGGATGTACTTGGAAAGAACCTACAAGACAAGTCCAGTTGCTTTATACTATTAAATAACTTCTGGAGTAAAATGGGCTCCTGTAGTTCCCGTAGCTTTAGCCTCCGAAGTCACTTTATGCTACGCATTTAATTTGAAAATGTGTCAAAAACGTACCATGTGCTCTAATCAGACTCCATGAAAATAAAAAAAATCTGCAATTCGATACACAACTGTGAAGCTATTTGTGACTCAGCTGCCACCAACACTCGCACGGTGAAGATTCAGGGAGTTTAAACCATTCACATGTAGATCACAGTGTCACATACGCCGTCAGGAGTCTAATAGGTTTTAAACGGCACACTTCTTGTTTGCATCACAGTCGGAGTTTATTAAAAATTCAGCGTCCGAAGCCGACAGCGAGTTTGTACTCGTTCCGTCGCCGTCCAGCGAGCAGACGGGAGTTAAAGTCTGCTAACTCTGGGGGAGGTAATGTAATTGAACATTCTCCCAAATAAAATATTCAGCGAGTGATGTGAAATTCAAATTACACCGTGGCTTCAGTCAACAGGAAAGACTAAATTTAGCCGCCGTGCTGCTCCCGTCTGCATCGAGAGAAAAAAACGGTGCAAAAGCACAAAACCAAGAGCAAAAACTGGAGACCATCTGGTGTCATTTCAGATTGAACTGATCAACACCTGAATCGTTGCTTCTTTGAGTCGCTCATGTCATCATTTAAAAAAAAAAAAGATCAAGTTTAGTGTGTTGTTTTATCTTAAATTTATCTGCTAAAACAAATCTAATGTGTCTTTTGTTGGTAGAGACCAAACTAGGGCTAAAAGCGTACGCAAACCAGACTCTAGAAGGACGTCTATGAGCCTGAATGGTTGCTGTTTGCCAAATACAAATTCAATACGCCGGCGATGTGGAGTTTATTACATCCCACAGGGGCCAGAATCAATAAATACAGGTTTAAATGGGATTATTCTCATTATTAAATGTGCCAAAACCATCATCCTGCAGTCTGAAGTGCTGTTTCCCTTCAACAGCAGATTTCTGATCTGACTTTGGAGAACATTTAGTTTCTCTAGATAAAGTCCGTTCTGCAGTAAAGAACGGTCTGACTGCACCACATTATTATTATCGTCTGATATTTGGATATAAATGCAGCAACGTGTTCCTTCAAAATACTGATTCTGGAATCGTTTCAGTGGAATATGTGCTTGCACGGAGGCGAAAACTGTCCTGAAAACAGATTATTCATTAAGAACTTACTGCATAAAACTCGCTAAAACCTTCATCCTGCATTCGGAAGCAACGTTTCTTTTTTGGTTAGATTTTGGAGTTTAGTTTATCTAGATAAAGTCTGGCACTGTCAAACCGTTCTGCAATAGAGAACCGTCTGACGGCACTTCTGGCAAACGTTTTTTTAAATGGATCACAGTCATGTTGGGCGGATCGAAGTGACAGATGCTTCAACCCTCAAAACAGTGACGGTGGAACTGAAACCCATCAAAATCACTTCATTCTTCATGCTTCGTTTCAAATTGTGCCAAAAATACACACTTTGCTGAAACTAGATTCTGTAAAAATCTAAAAATTCTGCAGTCCTTGGTGCAACTCCAGTGTTTTTAGTGACTCAGCTGCAACCGACGGTCATGTGGAGAAAATTCGATCCCGAAACGTTGCACCAATGAATGCTTGCAAGTTAGAAAGTGTGCAAAAGCCTCCGATGCACCTGGTTAACGAAACAAATGTGGATTATTCCTGAATAAACTCTAACCCTGAACTCTGGTCTTCTTTCAGGCGAGGAGGGAGCAGCGGACGAAGGCAAAGACGGCAAGTCGGCCAAGGCCAAGCGCTCGCATTTCGGCCGCGCCGTTTCCCTGAAGAACTTCATCCTGCGAAAGGGCAAATCCACCAGCGTGGACATGGGCGAAGGCACCAAGGAGGAGGAGGAGGCTGCAGAAGCAGGCGAGGCGGCGGAGGAGGCCGGCGCCGACGGCGAGGCGGCAGCAGCGACCGAGGAAGCCAACGACAAAGATGCAGTGGAAGTGGCGGCTGAGAAAACACCGGCAGCGACGGAGGAGGAGAAGAACGGCGGCGAGGCGGTGAAGGAGGCGGAGAAGACGCCGGCCGACGCCCCGGTGACCAACGGCGAGAACGGCTGCTCCAACGGCACGGCGGAGGAAACCGCCGAACACAATCACCAGGACGAGGAGAAGACGACGGGGAGCAGCCCCGTGAAGAAGGGCAAGGAGGCGGTGAAGGACGAGGCCAACGCCAAGATCATCAACGCCGTGAACAGCGGTGAGTTAGAGCGCGCCGAGCGGGACTCTGCCGAGCCGCCAAACGGCAGCGAAGACGGAGATACTAACGACAGACAGCGACAAGCACCGGCACCGACGCTAACAAGCGATAGCAGTAAATGCAACCGCTGGGGGGATGAGCTAGCGTTAGCCGTTAGCATCGGGGAGGAGGGCGGGGAGGGAGGGGAGTCTCCGCTGAACGGAGGCTGTCGCTATGAGTCATGTGACCAGGGAGAGAGAGAGGAGGAGGAGGAGGAGGAGATGAGGAAGAGGGATCTCCGAGAGGCAGCGGTGGCCATCGTTCGAAACGTGATGTCAGCAGCCACCGACCAATTAGAGAGGGAGCTGTGCGTCGACAACGGTTTGAACGGCTGCTACGACTTTAGATACTGACTTGTTACCCACATGTTCGACACATATCAGCGCACACAGACGCATGCAGACACATGTTTAAGGACAAATATCTGTTTTCTGAGCTGCAACCAGTCAACGTCGGCGTAAAGACCGTCAGCGGAGAGAAACGTCCAACGTTAAACACTCACCTGTGCAGCTCAGTGATCACCTGCCGGCATCTTCTGTTTAACCTCAAACAGAGACGACAAAACGAGACGCTGCCAGCAGAGAACAGCAGCTCACTGATGCTTCAACAGGCGGAACATGATGTTCTCAAAACCGTCGACTGTTCCTGCAGTGATTATTATTATTATTAATAATAATAACAATAATAATAATAATAATGATAACAATATGCAAAAAACGTCTCAGTTGAATCGGTTTTAGAAGAAATCTCCAGTGAAGTCACCTCCAATGAAACGCTTAAACATTAACAACACTTTGGTTTCGTTTTTAGAATAATTTTGCAGACATTACAAACCTACACAGACTTTTAACCGGAAGGGAAACTGTTTACAGGTTGAGGTATAATTGAATATTTTTGCTGCATTCATTTAATTATACTTTAATTTTAGCGTCTGATGTTACCGACACCACTTATTCGGCTCTTTTGGGATTTAATTACAATTACAGAACTGCTAATCTAAGAAAATTGTCCACAACATGAGAACAGTTCAATTAAAAGACAATCAACAAGTTTGATTTAAATTCACCCACAAACACCAAGAGAAGCAGCGTAAACTTATATCTGCAGTGAGTTCATGCAACGAAACTCCAGTAAGTCTGGTCGTTTCCATTAATCAGAAAGTTCATCTTTAGGGAAATCATTCCATCTACATTTTAAAACACATTAGCCCCGGTGACATCGCTTCATGATGCTGCAACTTTTACATCGATTTAGGATTCAGTCATGCTAATTAGCATCTAGCATATCGTCTGACTGCACCTCAGTGTTCTGCTATAGTGGGAAAAAAACTAACTTTAAATAAATCACGGTCATGTTGAGCGGCTCTAAGTGAAAGACGGAGTTGTTTTAGTGGAAAACTGGTAATAAAATGAAAAAAAACAACTAGCAAGGCTGATTTACTGCACAGACACACGTAGCACACAGATAGCAGACGCTAACAGATAGCAGACGCTAGCACATCGTCTACATTCAGTGAGTCCGACTAATCTACAGATAAAATGTTAATTCATTTTTCCTGCGACCAGTCGATTAGTTGTATGATTTTAGCTTCACTCTGATGCATATTTTAGAAAAACGTTGGTGGCTAACAGTTTCCCTCCGCTCCCAGTCTTTGTGCTAAGCTACGCTAACTGGCTGCAGCTCCGTATTAAACACCTTTCTAAATAAATGTGCACACACACAGATTCACTCGTTTTATATTTATACGTCGGCATGCAGCTTCCCCGAGTGACTGCACGTTAGCAAACAATGCCGTTGTTCCCTTTAAATCCCTTTAACGAAACGGTAGCGTAGCCGATGAATATTTGTTCACCGTTGAATCACCTGCGAGAGACGAAGAGACGCTCGGTTCGTTTGATGTCATCACAGGTTAGCGAGCAGCTCGAGCGTCTAACGAGGCCTCAGGTGGCGATCGCGTCCTCGACTTTACAGAAACGTCCGATTAGAGCAGCCGGTCAGACGAGATGCAACACAACGCCGTTTTCTGTTCTGCCGAGTCTTCTGGCGGCGTTTCACACCTGAGCGGCGGGAGGCGAACCAGAAGCCGCTGCATTATTTACGGGCCTCGTCTCCGCTCAGGCGAAGCTCGGCGAGGCCTCGTGTCCGCCGACCGCCTCGCTTTGATCCGACGGCGGCCTGCAGAGAGCGCCGCTGCTCCCGCTGCTGCCGTCGACGGCGCTTTGAAGCTCTTTGGCTAAAAACTGAAGCGTGTTTAGCAGCACTGAGGCCTGAAACTGGGCCAAACACTCGATTTTCTTTTTTTTTACTGAAACGTATAAAAGCAGCTGAACAGCACATAAAAGGACCAGATTAACCCTCTGAACGCCGTTCTTCACCACGATGTGCACCTCATGGAACCAGAACAGCAAATATCAGTAAAACACGGTTAGAATGACAGAAATATTCAAAACAAGACAAAAATAAAAATAAAAACATTTTCCAGCGTTACAAACACTCTAAAGCAAATAAAGAGCTCCAAAAACTATATTTATATCCAACTAACTGATGGTTTTAAAGAAAATTTAGTCAATATGTCGGATTCTTCTCAAAAATTCGCCTAAATAGGCGACGAAAACTTTCAAGAAATGTCGTGAGGTTTTGGTTCAATCTTAACTTTTATTAACATACTATAAAAATAACTTTTATTATCAAGAAATTAATGGTTATGCTGATTAAAAATGTAAATCGGATCCTATTTCTATATTTCCCATCATATCATTTGTTCTAAATTGAAATATTTATTTTAGGAAAGTGGGTTTAAATGTAAAATTATCCACATTTTCTTCAGTGTAACTGAGTTCATGGTTTCTCAAACACAACCAAACTCATTCTAAAGAATTTGTTTTATATGATCCTGTTTTGATGGAAATCATAAAACTACTTTTTGTTCGATGTCCAGGTTCATGTAAACCTGCCGTGTTAACTGCACTTCAGCCGACAAGGCTCTGAATTTTTGCCACTCGACTGTCGGTCACAGCCGAGTCGCTGATAGCTTCACGGTTGTGCCGAGAAATGCAGAATTTTTTGTTTTTAACAGAATC